CGCCAACAAGAAGGAACACTGGTACATACGCTGGTAGTGAAATTGGCTCTGAGGATGGCGGCCGCCGCGTTCGTAGTGGTGCTTCATCAACAATGCTACCAAGAAACCTCAGTCTGAGTAACCGGCCTGGGTCATCATCAAATAATATTCGCCAGTCTCATCAGCGTCCCTCACGAAACGACTCTGTCACAACCTCATCTCCAATATCTCCCAAAACCCCGCAAGGCAGTCCAAGAGTTCCAGGGGAAAAGAGACCTTCTGCTGCATCAATCAGGGATTTACATCACTCTAGACAAAGTTCGGTGGGTGAATTCAGTACCACTAATTCACTCATGAGCACAATTGCAGCAGATAAACCCCAAGGTGCATCTTCACACCGGAAACAAGCCTCATTTAACAAAGATTGGTCACTTGGTGATGCGACATCCGCCATATCCCAACGACCTTTATCTTCGAATCGCCCGTTATCGTCGGCTGGTCTCACGGAAATTACCACCAAGGGATCTGCTGATCAGCCATCTGAAATTATAGCCCCCCCAACTAATTTAGATATTGATCGAGGATATTTTTCGGGTGGTGAATTGGAGGGTCGGCAGAGGAACGTGCTACGTAAGAGAGGTAGCACAGCTGGACACTCTAGAAATTCTAGTTACACTGATGAGCAAAGATTAAGGACTGCCACAACAAATTCAAGACATTCAAGATTTGGTAGCGTCGATTCAGTGAGAGAGACGACACCACCTACCGCAGCACAAAAATATTACGGCTTATCCGTAAACGGTCGTCGAAGAACCCCCTCTGAAAGTTCCGTCAATTCACCTCCTCGACCAGTACCACCCCCGAAGGACGATTTCCCACTCGTTACCAGACTTCAACCAGAAAGATCTATGGATAGTATAATGTCGCCCAAATCACCAAGTCTTCAACAAAATTACCCTAACGATCGGTTGTTACCTGTCAAACCAACAGGATCCTCTAGCCATTTCAGCATGCGCGCAATTTCTGATGCTGTCACCGGCCGCGAGAAATCCCGTATTACTTCACCAACAGACACGGTATCATCCTCAACAAAAGAATCCCCACTTCAATCGCCTTCAAGAACTGGTTCGAGCACACCTTCAGCTGGTCCAAGCTTTGAACTTGATCCTGCAGATGATAAGACGGCTATGATTAATCCGAAAGCATCGAGAAAGAAGTCCAAGAAGGAAACTAGTGCCTATACGCGGGGCCTCGAAAAGAAAACGCCCCAGGAGCAGATGGTCGGTGCAGATTATAGTGGATGGATGAAGAAGAAAAGTTCAAATCTTATGACCACATGGAAGCCCAGACTTTTTGTGTTGAAGGGCCGCCGGCTGTCATATTACTACTCCGAGACCGATGATCAAGAGAAAGGATTGATCGATATTTCATTCCATCGAGTCTTGCCAGCCGACACTGATCGCCTTACTGGTCTTCATGCCACTCTCACCGGTGCCACGAATAGCCCTACAAGTCCGATTAATGCACAAGGAACTATTGCATCAGCGGAGGCAGATGCCGAACCAGAATCCACGTTAAGCAAAAGTGGCGGTGATTCTATGTTCATTTTCAAACTCGTTCCACCACGAGCTGGTCTTTCCAGAGCTGTCAACTTCACCAAACCTACTGTGCACTACTTCGCAGTGCCGAATATCAAACAGGGTAGGTTATGGATGGCCGCACTAATGAAAGCTACCATTGACCGAGACGATTCCAAACCTATAACCACAACTTATCAACAAAAGACTATCTCTCTTGCAAAAGCCCGACAGATGCGACACCGTCCTCCAGCACTTATGAACCTTGATGAAAAGGTCGAAGAGGAGACTTTGAAGACTCCGGCAAGCGATAAGCATGGTCTAAATATACATGGTATCATCTTCGATCGCGACGAGGGTGATAGTGGCGTTTCTGGGGTTTCGAAACGAGAGAGTGCGAACACAGGGACTAGTCATGTACCGGAAAGTGCGGGCATAAGTAACACCTATTCGCCAGATACCGATGTTGCAGAACCACAAACTGCTTAAGGTGGTACTTCAGAGGCTGCATGAACAATGATGATTGAGATGTTCGCACGCATTCGATTGTTTACGACTGATGGACGAACACAAAGAAACACATCGAATCTTTTCTTCTTTTCACTACTTCACTTCGCATTTCTTCTTTTTATCTAATTTTTTCGAGCAATTCTTCGTTCCTGGCTCGATACCAATGAATATCCGCCGGGACGTTGAAAGATGCATACAATTTCAGATATCTATATAATATACCCCATTCTAATTCTGGTGTGGTGTGCAAATGGTGGGAATTGGTGGGAATTGGGTGGTGGGATGTGGGTCGTTTTGATAGGGAAATGGAAGGGAATTTAGGTCGGCTTGGGGATGGATTGAAAGATCGGAATGGATGAGGTTGGTGAGGATGGATTGGTTGGGTCGGCGGGTTGGATTGGGGAAATAAAGAAACATCAACCTCCTTTTCCTTTTTTTCTTTTAAACGCATATCGGCGTCACACATACCCTCTCGATAGTTGAAGAAAGTTACTTGAATGGGAGACAGATACGGATGGATTGATGGAGGGAGAATAAATCATTGGCATGATAGGATGATAGGATTGATGATTCGCCTTTTGGAAAGGTTGCATTGTCAACAGTTGTGAAATTTGAGGGGAGAGATGAGTGTAGAATGGGGGGGGGGGGAGGAGATGAAATACGAAAGGTATGGAGAATGAGATTTATGTAGCGAATTGAAGTGGAATGAAATGAAATGAAATGAGATGAGAAGAGTGAAAATTTCAATTTGAAAGCTACATTTGGGCGTGAGTTTAAGTGGGTGAATGTGATTATGAATTTGAATGAATGTGACTATGAAAGTGAAAGTGATGAAGCACTTACCTAGGTAGGTTTATCTTGTGAAGCTGGAGATGAAACGAAAGGGGAAAATGGGGGAGGTATGGATGTAGGTATGGATGTGAAGCAATATAGCTAGTATATGGGATTATTTAGATAAGTTGATAGTTAGGGAGACTTCGCTAATTTAATACGGATATGTAGGTACTTAGTGTGTTTTGGTTTATTAGTTGATTGGTTGTTATGATGTGTTTTTTGATGAGTTTTTTGATGAGTTTTTTGATGAGCTTATATACCGATGTAAAGAAGAGATGAAATGAAATGGAATGGAATGAAATAGAATAAAATGAAATGAAATAAACTTTTCTATATAGATTTAGATTTAGATTTAGATTTCTACTCATATTCCTACTCTCTTTTATTTATTTCTTGAACTTATGAAATTTGTGAAATTTGTGAAGGAGGAGTATGGAGGGAGTATGGAGGAAGTATTGTATTTTCTATCGAGGAGGAATTTTAAGGGTTTATTTTATTTAGTTTTTTAATCTGGGGTTTGGAATAAGGGATGGGTTTTGCAGTTGGATTTGGGGATTGGGATTGGGATTGGAGTTGAATTGGGATTGGGAATGGGATTGGAATGGAATTGGATTTTGGGATTGGGATTGGAGTTGAATTGGGATTGGGATTGGGATTGGATTTGGATTGGGCTTGGATTGGGAATTGGAATTGGAGTTGGAGTTGGAGTTTGGATGGATGATACTAAATCATGCTCATTTCTCGTCCTTCTCGTCTTCTGAGATTGGAAAGCTTGTGAGAAATTTTGTGTTATGGTATGTTATTGGATTGGGTAGGTGGGTAGTTATTATAATATAAGCCTTTTTGCTTTCTTTCTATTCTGCGTCACTTCTCTTTTCATTTCCATTTCCATTTCCATTTCCCTTTCCATTTCATCAATAAGCGAGCATCAACAATCATCATCTGTGTTTCTAATCAGATAGGATAGAATAGGATAGGATAGTAAATATTGAATATTAAGTGTATGGACATGAGTATATATAATTTGGATTGCAGTCTTATGCTCATTGAATGGGATCTTGATCAGTAATATGAGATGGGTTTGGGAGGGTGAGAGGGTGAGAGGGTGAGAGGAGTATACTGCTTTGTCTGGGCTGGTGTGTCTGGGCTGGTGTGTCTGGGCTGGTGTGTCTGGGCTGGTGTTTGTAGTGATGATGCGGATTTGGGGGGTTGGAATTGGGGTTGGAGGTGAGATGAGATGAGATTGAATAAGATTGAATGAATGAATATAAGATTTGGAAAGGCGAGTAAGTAATCAAAGACACACTTAGACAGACAGATAGCTTACTTAGCTTCACTGACAAAATAGAGCGAGAGATATCGAAAGTGATCAAACAAGTGTGATAATCCAAAAGGATATTGCGAGTAAGTTATCGATCTACTATATGTAGTGCAAAAATTATCTTTGACGCCCAACAAGCTTATTAGATAGGACAGGAAAGAGTACTAGATAGCGCAGAGTCTTCGAATGGTTTGTGGGCGGGAAGAGTGCCGGATTTTGATGCTTCGTGTGTGGAATCAGAGGACTGGCTTGGAGCTTGGTCTGGAATCTTACTCGTGATTGTTTCCACGATGAGCTTTATGATTTATGCTTGTGGTTCAAATTCGTGGGATAAAATAGACAGCGTGAGGATGTATAAGATGGATCATAAGAGATATGATGTGTAAAGCTATTGAGTGCCCTTCTCGTTGTGTCACAAGAGCTGTCTGAAATTCTATTACTTGAGTTTATCAAAAGCACTTGCTTTCATTACTCTATTGAATTCCATCCCAACATAAATCAGTTCCAGACTCTCACCACTCACCCCATAGACTTATAATTTGCCTCACCACTTCCACCCTTCCCTCTTTCATGAAAAAAATCGCACCTAACCCACCTACCCAGCCAAATCACAAGCAAATCTCAAGAAACTCCAATTACAAATCACAACCACATCCAGGAATCGTGCATATAGGAAGTAGAGATCCATTCGTAATAAGTAACCACGCCTCATTTCCATCCCGGTGTATACACATTCCGAGTTTTTTGAATCATCCTCGCCATGACAAATCCCATCATTTTCATATCCGTCCTTCATGCATCCATCCTATCATACATTTCTTCCCCTGACTGCTGTATTTTCATCTGCGACCTAATCCATTGTACATTGTTGTCGTCATTAAAGGTATCCCCTCTCATCATCATCTCTTCTGCCTTTCCCATCTCGATTCCGCATATCGAAATTCCCATAGCATTCTCCATCTCCATCGCCAATCATTCTTTACAAACTACACCACAAATCATTAGCCCAATCCGCATCTCAAATCCCCTCCCATCCCATCCCATCCCATCAAAAAAAAAAGAGAGAAAGAAAGTACTCACGGCGGCAAAAGATACTCGCTCCAACTGCTCGAAAAAAACGCAACCGCAATGCCAAAAACCCCAATGCTCCTAACCACACTTGCATTCTCCGGCGCCGTCAACGCAGTATACGTGCTTGCGAAAGAACCTTTTGATTGAGCGGGGCGACGGCCTGCGCGCTCGACGACTACACGTTGGGCTTTTGGTGCCATTTTGTGGAAGTTTAAGATCGTTTGGATGTGGAGTGTGTGAGATATTCTGGGTTGTTTGTGTGCGCAGAGGAGGTGAATTGGAAGGGTGTGTGTTTGAGAGGAAGAACTTGTTGCGGAGCGAGCTTGAATATTCTTTGATGCTAGTTGGATATTGAGGAGTTTTTGGTTATGATGATGATTAGTCAGCTTGTGGATGGAACACGTGATTGGAGGGGAATTTGGGGGTGAGGTGAGGTGAAGATGTGAGGGTTTGGGAGAAACGGTGAGGATATATTTGAGAAGGATATTTCGATACGAGGGGATGTGTAATTGGAGATACTGTCATGGTTGAGATATATTGGCATGGTTCTTGTCAATACTTCAAATGGGAAATGATAGCAGCGTTCCTCAAGCTTTAAGGTTACCACTGCATCTTTAATTACCCATCTCCTAACAATTGCGCATAGTATATTCAAAATCTCTTAATCAACACAGCATCAAACTCCCGCATTTCATCAATCAAAACCAAAGCCAGCTTTCCTACAATTTCCTACAATCCTAGTAATAATAATGAAACTCCCCAAACAAGCCCAGCCCAGACAAAAAATCTCTTAATCATTAGGTTACCATGACAGCTTTACCAGCACATATCAGAGAATCTCAGCCCTCTCACATACTCCACAAACACCGCGATTCCCATCCCATCACCTACTAAACCTATATACCAACTTGAAATTCGCCAAACAAATAGTAAGGTTACCGTGTATCCCTCCCAATACAATTCTAGTACTCTGGCCCGTGACCCACTCAATACCTCATATAAACATGAATATTCTGCTCTCCCCTTCCATCATCAGACTCCAAAAGTGTGATTCGGAGACAGAATTTCTGAGAAGCGCCAGACAGAAACAACAGAGCAGAAACTTACATCTGAAGTCGAATTCCCATCCATGCCCCAAAAACGCGTAACTTCTAATTCCACAATCTTCCTGATCACCCTCCATTTTCATCTCCACTACACCATACTTCTTCCACATTGCAGATATCTTCAAGCTTTTCTTCTCCTTTCACCTCTCTCTTTGATCCTCCAGCCTTCCTCGCCGATTCTCAAATCTCTCCTCTCCCATAACCCCATCCCGCAAACACCACTCCGCCCTTGCAACATTCCACTCCAGATCTCAACCTTCCACCAACCATCTCTCCACCCATCTCTCCATCCCTATAACCTCAGAATCCTATAATCCCATCCCCACCTCATCCACCCAACCTCTTACCCTAATCCCACACATGAAATCCCCTCTGGAGAATCCGCAGTCCAAATCCAATCCCAATCCCAATCTCAATTCACCTTATCACTATCCCTCATCCCTTCTTACACACATAGAACAAAATAAACCAAACCAAACAACCTACCATCTTTCCATTCTGTTATTTCCTCCATTCCCTTTATCCTCCTCAAAATTCAAAAGGAAATCATCCATCATACCCCCTGTCCTCTTAACCCTTTCTCCTTTCCCCTTCCCCTCAAAAACAAATACACACCCATTCAAACCTTCCCCTCCTCTATCTATCCATCCCTTCACAACTCCACAACTCCAACTTTCTTCCCCAACCCCAACCCACCCCAAATCCAATTCACCCCTCGATATCCACCTTCCACTCATCTTCCTCCCACCTTCCATCTCATAAATACATACATACATATATACCCCTCTCCCTCCCTCCCTCCCTACCTCCCTCCCTCCCTACCTCCCTCCCTCCACCAAATACAATCCAATACAATACTATAAAAAACCCAATCCACAACCACAAAAACAAAAACAAAAACAACTATCTCCATCCATCCATTCTCTCACTTCCATTCTCTCACTTCCATTCTCTCACTTCCAACCATCTTCCATCACCATACCAAGCACACCAACCATAAATTTAACAAATCACAAATCACAAATCACAAAACAACCAAGCACCAAGCACCAACTTCCCACTCCCACTCCCACTCCCTCTACTCCCTCCAATCTCTTCATCTCCTTACCATACATAACAAACACAACGTAACACAACATAACAAATATAACATCTACTATCCATCATCTATTAACTATCTATCCATCCATCCAGCACACTTAATTCCCATCAAATAAGCACACACATCCAACCATCCAACGATCCAACAAACAAACGAACAACCCCCCAAAAAAAGAGTGGGCAAAAAATCATCAAGAAAAAATAATCGGCACGGCACTGCACGGCACTGCAATGCATGCATACCACTCACCCACCCACCCACCATCCCCACTACTCCAATATAATCCGTGCTGCACCTAAGCAATCAATCTACATACATCCTTTGCATTACCGAGCCCCTTAAAATGACCCCGAAACAAATTGCGTGAAAAGTCAATAGTCAATAGTCCCTTTCATCTTCATATATGATAAAATCACGCTACTAAAAAACATTCAATCATTGAAAAACATATATGTTAATAATCTTATTCCAAAGTTGCTTTGGAAAATAAACAAACATCTTCTCGAGTCTCCTAGTGATAAATCCCGCCCTGTAATAAAAGAGAGAGAGAACTGGACCCATCAATGATAAATACACAGGATTCCACCCTTTCCCCAAGAGATCCCAATATCCGTTCCTACGCAAAAGAAATATGGTGGATAATAAACAAGATAGACTAATCATTTAAACAAAGTAACGCCAGTTCCCATCTCATAACTTTGCCCAGTAAAAATATGCCGAGAAAGTCATAATATGAGCCAAGTAATTAAGTACGTCCTTTGACTGATCAAAAGTATAATAGCGTAAACACAAAATGAAAGCCACTCCCCTCCATTGATCCCTATCCAACGTCACACGATCGTGTCATGTCTTATGTAAAAGGAGTTTTTTTTTAAACACTTGCAACAACCACCACCCCTTTCTAATCCTTTCTGAAGTTCCAGATTCTTTTTCACATTTGAGAGTCCATGCGCCAGGAAAGCTCGAAGTGGTATGATCCGATAAACGCCAAAGTATGCTCGAAAACGCCGGTAAATTGACCCTATGCACCTGAATTGCTTCAAACAGTCTCGGATATTTCATTTTCTCCTAGATAAGGATCAAAGTTATAATTGTCATCTGCACCACCAGTAGAATCATTCAAGAATGAATCAAAGTCAAAGTCGGTAAGAACATCCGAATTTCCATTCATGGGATTGTTGAACTCGAGCATATCAAACTATTGAAACTGTATTAGTGAAACCCAGAAGAAATGACATGTGAGAGGCATACCGGTTGATCATTCATTGGGAATGCATTCAGAGGATCAGGCTGCGACGAGGCAACTCCAACGTTCGGGGCAGTCGCCATAGGTTGACCATTGACGGGCTGAACAGCACCGTTTGGATTTGGAACATTGTTGAAAGTCTTCGTGTGAACCGGGGTGATCGGGGTCGCTGGGGTGGGGGTCGCGGCTTCTTGGGTTGGATCGGCGGAGGGTGTAGCACCAGCGTTGAGGTTTGCGGCGGATCCTTTCTTTGTAGCCCGCTGTTATCAATGTCAACATTTCTACCAAAAAATCCATTAAACGCTAAGAAATTTACCTTTGTTTTGGTTTCCTTGGTCTCATTCTTCTTCTTGGGGTTTGCCTTGTTCGATTGCTGAGGTGTTGGAGGTGCAGCAGTGCTACCTTGAGGGGACGATGGTTGTGTTCGTCCGTTCGCGCCAGCGTTGGCAGGAGCTGCGGGCGGAGGCATATTTCGTTGTTGAGGTGTGCCCATAGCTTGTGGGGGTCCTTGGGAGGGGTTGGCAACCATGGGAGCGCCGCCGTTTGGACCATTCTGCCAGTTGCCTGCTTGCTGTCGTGCCATCATCATTTGCTGCTGTGACATTCCTTGTGGGAATCCGGGATGGGAACTAGGGGGTCGCATGCCGTTTGGCATCATGTTACCATTCATATCGTTCATCTTGTAGAATTGCGGGTTCATGCCTGCATCCATTTGTCCAGGCTGTCCCATGTTGAAGTTCATTGCGCCTGGCGATCCTCTATTTTGACCTTCGGGTAGAGGAGATGGAATGCCTGGGTTATTCATGTGAGGGGTTCCTCGCTTCATCTGCTGCTCGCTTGGGTTTGGCGAGTTCACTGATCGAGGACCACTTTGTGGCGAGGTTCCTTGGGGGAAATTGGGTCCATTGGGTCCCATGCCAGGTCCTCCGGGACCTCCCTGGCCCTCAGCGGCACCCTGTTCTTGGCGTGCCATCATTAGTCTCTTCTTGTTTTGTTGCTCAAGCAACATCAACTGCATCTGATAGTCTTGTAAAGCATGGTTACCTTGTTGGCCACTTTGTTGGCCACCGGGAGCACCTCTCACACCGTTTTGACCCATTTCACCCGCGCCGTAACCATAGGTAGTCATTGCGTTCACATCAGCACCTTGCGTCATCATGGGCGATCCTTGGTTGGGGGGGCCTCCAGCGGCTGCACCAGGCATTTGCTTTTGTTGCTGATGTGACAAACCAGCCTGATATGCTTGAAGATTCTTTTGTGGATTTTGATTTGGGAAACCCTGGAACTGCTGAGCTGTCAGATTTGAATCGATACCATTTGAAAGTGGCAAATGAGCTGCTTGAGCAGTATTGCTGGGGGCGGTTTCTCCCACCTGTTGGCCTGGAATTCCAGTAGTTTGTCCTCTTCCATTAGGTCCCATGCCACCTTGTTGGTTAAATCCGGGTCCTTCAATTCGTGGTCGCTTGGATGGGGATGGAGCGTTCTCGGCAGATCCTCCTGGCGATTGAGCTCGTTGTGGATGGTTGCCGTCCGAAGGTTCTCTCTGCATTGCTTGTTGTTTCTGCATCTGTTGCATTTGTTGCATCTGCTGCATCTGCTGTGGAGTGCTGTGACAGTGATTGATTAGCGTTAGTATGACAAGCAAAAGATGGCTACTCACGGTTTGCCTCTACCACCATTCATCAATGCTTGTCGTGCAATTTCATTTTGCATTATCGCTGGGTTCATACGACCATAGGGTGCACCAGGATGCATTCCATTTGGATTAAGAGCACGAAGCGAAGCCTGCTGTTGCTCTGCCTTTTGGCGCGTTTGCTATCAAGAGTTTAGTTAATGCTTTTAGTGAACCTCCAATGGTTGAAATACCTGTGTGTGAGTGACATAGGCAAGAACGTTACGTGATGGATCCCCCGAGTTTCGCTGAGCATTGAACATTTCCCAGAAAAGGCAAAACCATTCATAGAGAAAACAGCCATTTTCAGGAGATTCCTTGGGAAGGTTTGGTAGAGGAAGATCACTGGGCCTCTTTGAATCGATATCATCTTTCGAATCGTCTCCCTCCTCCGCGTCGCCCCGATTGAGGCTATCTTTCTGGACGTTGATTTGTTCATTCAACATTGTTCTGGCGCAATCAAACATGCCACTCTTGAGAAAGTATTCGTAAATGTAGGTGTTCAGTTGCGATCGAGGGCTAAAAGAGTTGCCATCTTTCATCGTAGGATGTCTCGCAGCTCCACCGGGTACCCCATTATTCATCATGGGGATACCAGTTCCAACTGGACCACCCATGTTTGGCATACCGGACATATTGACGTTATTCATCGTCGCAGACTCTGAACGCGATCGGGTAGTGATAAGTCAAGGTGAGCGTGAATTTTACAATCCAACACTCGTGTAGAAGAAGAAAAACCGTCCGTCAGCCACAGCTCTCTGACGCGAAGCGGTTGTAGGGCGAAATGTCGCACGGCAGAACGGTTTGAATTGAACGAAACCGAAAACTATCGTTTTTAAATATTCCAACTTGTATATTATTGTGACTGTACGTGGCGCGCCAGTTTGATGTAGATTGAATGGGATTGAAGGTGTGATTTCTGGTGTAACTGAGGTATCTGTGTCTGTGTCTGGGGGGGGGGACCTTTTTAGTGGAAGCCAAATGCGATAAACTCCGGGGGCTTGTTTGATGCGAGAAGCAATAGCGTCTGAAGGTTATTGAAGAAGGCTATTCTAGAAGGAAGAGGAAGGTTGAAAAGCTCTTGCTTGGGATGAGATTGCGCAAGTGAAGATATTCACCATGCAATTATTAAGGGTAACTGATATTGATACCGTGGACGAGACTTTTCAATTAATCGAAATGGGGCGGTAGTGGTGGTGATTTATGGGTTGTAGTTTGTCGTTGTAATTTGTATAAAGTTTCCAAGGTGGGTTTTTGGGGGGTGTGTTGCAAATAATAAGAGACTGAAAAATACGCAGGGCGTGATGTAAACTGCTTCCCGAGAGGAAGGTGCGTTTTCTAGGTACCGGGAGTGTTTCTAGTATTTCTTTCCTCACTCTCTCTCTCACTCTCTCTCTCTCACTCACTCTCTCTTGGTTTTTTTTTTCTGGTGTTCAAAGTTGAATGGTCGGAGCTGGAAGAAAGCTTGGGGGGGAGAGAATTGAACGAACCAGGATTCGCCACAAAAAATAAATAAGGAGTGAAGAGTGAAGATTAATAAAAAAAAGGAAGAAGGAAGAGGTCAAGATAGGATTGGAAAAGTAAAGATATTAAAGAGATATATGAGATGATTTCGAATCAGATGATAATTGATACCCAATTCTCTTCCGAATGGTCACGGAGTTATATGAAGAGTGAAGAGGGAAGAGGGAAATATAAAAGTGGTAGAATTGGGAGAGGAATAATCATAATAAGTTGGAGAGGGGGGGAGAGAGAGGAGAGACCGAGAGGTAAGGTTCGATAGAGAAGAGAGAAAAAAGTGGAAGATTTGGATGAGAACCAATCATATCATGGTTTTGTATCGACTAATCTACAAGTGGCCTTAGCCTCAGCCTACGAGTGATGCTGCTTTTGAGATGAAAGATATATAGTAGAAGAGTAAGAACAGATTGATTGACCTTCACCCTTCACCCTTCACTTCCAACCAGAAGGATGGTGATGTTATTTATTTTGGAAGAGAAGTTTGATGATTTCAAATGAAAAGTATTCTACCTAGGTAGGTCGTTCGAATGATGGGAAGCATCAGGTAACATCCATTGAAACTATACTCATCATGCTGCTTTCTCATGTGGACTACTGGGTCGGTATGTATGTAGAGAACTTTATATCTTCCATCTAGCTACAGTGCTAGGGAGGTATCTGGTCTGGCTAGATATCTATCTATTATCTAGGTCGTCGCTATCGACGAGTCCTTTTCGGCGATTCCACATAGACTTTGCAAATCCCTGGTGAAGTGATAACTACTAGGCAGGTACTAACCTCGAAATCATTTCATTTCATTTCATTTCTTCTTGCTTGGTATCTTTGCCCATCGATGATTACCTAATGAGTCTGTAGTCGTAGTATATTGCAATACCTACCGAAGCTACATGATTTCGTGGTTTTGCCCCTTCAGAGATATATGGGAATTCTTGAGTTCTTGAGTTCTTTGGTTCTTTGGTTCTTTGGTTCTTTGGTTCTTTCGTATGTATGGTAGGTAGCTGCTAAATAATAGATAGGTAGGTATCTTCACCTGCATTTCATTCGAGAAATCATACAATCTTTCATCAGTACCTAGGTACCTACTACCGACCTCCGTATCTATCTATGTACTCGAGTACCTTCACCGACCTTCATCTTACGGAAGCAACAACCATAATTCATGTTGGTATACTACGCAGTACTGGGCAATCAACTTCCATCCGCTTCTACTCTCCTCTACAACCCCAATCCATCTCTCTCATCTCTTGGCTTACCTAGATATAAGTCACTCATTCCCTCGATGAACCATCATTCGAAACAACCATCCAACTTTCGCTTGCTAAAAGTGGCATGCAAAGTAAGTGTAAGTGTGACATGATTTCCATCATCACCAGCCCTTCCATTTCAGAGGGCCTTGGGTGATCTGGAAGAGATGCATATAACATGCAATTCTTTTCGATTCCATTCCCCCAGGCGTATCCTCATCTTGAATGTAGGAAGAGAATGATTCGAATCAAGATCAATCACGGTGTGGTCACGTGATATCGATGACAATGGCATTGCTAATGATCAGTGTCTAATTGTTAGGTAGGTAGGTAGTATATATACTAGAGTATATCATGACGTTACGGTTTGTCATTTCTGGTTTCCAAGGTTTTTGTATCGAAATGCAAATCATGAGTACATTGGAGTTTAAGATCCGACCTACGAATTATAAATTAGAAGATGGCATGAAACTAAAAGCATCTGTTCAATGATTGGGGGCCAAAGTTTCAAGGGATCAATCAAGTTGAATGAATCAATCAATCCGTCAATCCGTCAATCAATCAATCAATCAATCAATCAATCACTCAAACTACTGTACCCAATAAACCGAGCACACCCGAGCTATCAAGGACATCGATTTCCGAAAGTTTGGTTCACTGTCTCGACTGTCTACTTGGGTATGGAAAATGGAAAATACCAGGTGCATATGAATTGTTTTAAACCATGTGAGTAATAAGTATGTAGGTATGTGTATTTAGGCATGAATATATATATGTATATATATATACATCTATGAGTATGTCAGAATCATCTTCTCAATCATCTCACACATGACACTCACACATAAAATCCAAAGCTTCTGCCAATCCCTCCCTCCCCCAAAGTGCAAACTGTGCCGTCCAACGGCTTTTAATCTGATGAATATCTGTTTCACCCTTTGAATGCTCCTGCAGTGGATCGGTAGATCATCTTAATAGGTTTTAGGTATATCGTAAGTTACTCTACTCTCTTACTCCATGAGCCGTCCGCTCCCAAAAGTTGCTCCGTACTCTCGGAGAATAGTTCTCAGCCTTGGGTGTGGGGTCCAAAAATCATTCTATCGGTAGACGCGACACGAGTAGGTGCAGCTGCATTCAATATTTCCCCAACATTCCCCCAATCTTGCCTTTTCCCTTTTTCCACTTATCAACTCTACTCTTCTATTTATATCATACATTTATCATGCATTTCATTTCATTTCATTTCACTTCATCGGTGAATCAATAAAATATCTCAACCCATTTATCCCATCATCTCATAATGAGAAATCTACAAGTTGTAGAAGCCAGCTTGTTCAAACATTACCAATGTCTCGTAACGCACGGAATGTTCGAATCGAGGGTCACTTCAGATAGTGAATTAACATGAGAGACAAACTTCTTTCCCTAGTGGAATCGTTCAAGATGATTAGACATGTCTTCACATGAATATCTCACCAGTCAAAAGACCTCCCTATCCACCCCGCATTTTTCTCCTAGGGCTGTAGATCCCCTCGGATCTCCCGGAACGTTGGTGATTCATCTCAGGGGTACCCTACCCGTACCCAATACTGAATCCATCATCTCAACTCCAATAACTTCGAGTAGGTAAATAATTACTGACGCTTTGTTCTGCGATAGAGCTGGATGGTCACTCGGTGTGGAGATACGTATGCGACAAGACACAAAAGTCATTCCTGTCTAGATACATGAGATCTTTCGTCCGCGAGTCAACTCGTGTATAGAGTGTAGCTATCGTCTCAATGAGTGTCATCACATCTGGGTTAAACCATCTACCTTCTATATAATGCGTTCGTTAACAATGCAAGAAGAGTTTCCTCTGACTATGAATGTGTAGGTATCTTCTCAATCCTGAGTTCAAATTCTAGTAGCCCTCAGTTGAAGTTTTCATACACTCATCAGTTTTCCATCTACCAACTATTTCTACATGTGATCAATCAATCTTGTTCAGATTCCCATCTACGGTATCTACAGGTAGAATCGAAACAGTTTTCGATAACCCTCTTCATAGATCAGTTCCTCTACCAATCTGAATAGCTACCATGCTACCAAACAACAACGCAATCTTTCGAGTCTATGGATTACAAGATACAAAGTTACACTAGATATAAAGCTATACTCAAAAACACTTCAATACGAAACTCGATCTACACGCAAAGCTTCCTATCCACATATTCAACCGACCATGGCAAATACACATGTAGCATTAAATCTCTTCATCTATTCATCATCTATCCTCATCATTCATTCAATCTTCCATCTATCCATCTCCCACCTTCACTAATCACTTCCTCATATCGCCACCTCTACATCCACCCATCCACCCATCCACCCATCTCCATTTTCCCGAATCCCTATAGATAACTTAACTCGGTCAGAGTAAAATTCCAAAATTCGAATCTCAATCATTTGTTACTTATTACTTGTTATCCATTATCCGTTATCCATTATTCATTATTCATTACTTATTATCCATTATCCATTATCCATTATTCATTTACTAGGTATCTAGTAAAAACGAGGTCATTAGAAATAAATATATCTCTCTCTCCTTCTCTCCCCCTTTCACTCCTCTCCTCTTTCACTCCTCTCCTCTTTCACTCCTCTCCTCTTTTTCTCTCTCCCTCCCTCTCTCCATCCACCCATCCACCCATCCATCCACAGAGAAAGGTACTAGTCTAAATAAGCATATAATATATGATAAATTCGATACCAAAGCCCTAGAAAATATAGCTGATCTAATAATAACCAGATCCATTACATTTTTCTTCCACCACCCATCACCACCTCTCACCTCTCACCCCCAGCCTCCCACCCCCAGCATCCCCCCAATCCCTCATCAATATCCCCATTATCCATCCAATCATCCATTCATTCGATCCAAACCCAATCAATTAGTCAATCAACCAACCTCTCATCTAATACCTACACTCCCTACACCTATCTCCTTAGCATTCTTATCATAAACTTGTACATAGCTGCATGAACACAACACTCATTACTCAAAACTCTATATAAAGTATTAAACACTTCAATATACCTCATAAGCAACTCATACATACTCACCCACTCACTTACCCTATTTCATTTCACTCTATTCATACCCTATCTCGCCTACCCTCTAAACCACAAACACACACACACACACACACACACATCACATCAAAATTTACAAAACCCATTTTTGAACAATCGCATCACTCAATTCTCATTCCTATTCCACCTCCCCTGAATCTCCACACACCCACTCCGTTCAAAAGTATTCCTAAGCACATAAAAGAAGAAGTCAACAAACGAAGATCGATCAACAAAAGTCTTTCTTTTCCTTCACGTCCCTCAATCCACCAATCTAGACCTAAGCCCCCAGTCCAGCCTAGGTACTCTCAAGCCCAAATCCGTTCCTTTCCTTTGGGATCTCCTCAAATCGTTCATCGTCCGTCCAACTAAATATCTTATCACTTATTTCTTATCGTTGTTTGAAATTCACCTTCAACAAAGACCAACTCTCCAACCATTCGTGCCTCACAGCCTCTTGCTTGCTTTGTGATTAGATCATATGTGAGATTGAACCCATGATTTGTTCATAACATCACATCATTAAAAATAAGATAGAAAAGAACTTTTCGCCTGTTTTGCTTTTGCTTTGCAAGTCGCCCAAAAATCTTGAAATCTATCTTGTAAGATGAAAACCACAAAAATAATGGTTCCACGTCGTCAAAGGTAATGTTGTAGGTATTTACCGGGTTGCCAGTTCGTAAAGGGTATAGGAAATGGATATCGCGTGCAAAAATGCTTTTTTTAATTTTTTGTTGAACATATCAAAAGAAACATGGGAAATGACTAAGCGCCGAAAAGAAGCAATCCGTAAGGTTTTGATATAATGCTTATAATGCTGTTCGATCTTCGCACACCGAGAAAACGAGTAGACGGCCTTGGATCAATTGATGTTGTCCAAATTACAAATGAGAGACAAAATACGATGAACCAGTGTAAGAGCAATGATCGATAGTTCATCGAGGCCTATCGAACAATGGCATCCCTAGTAAAGGGACCTATGCAACAGGAGCTGCAACAGGAGCAATTGAAGCACCTTCCATGTTGCTAACTATGCCGGCACCACCCTCTCCAGCGAGGTTATCATTGAGTCCCTTTGATGGACAGTCACGAGCAATGTGACCTTCGGTTCCACAAGTATAACAAGTCTTTCCAGCCTTGTTAACACCGCCGTTGGGGCTAGTGCACTCACGGGAACTGTGTCCAGTTCTTCCGCATGCATAGCACTTCATGGCTTGAGCCTGGCAATCACGGGCAAAGTGGTTTGGACCACCACACTATCAGGAGTTAGTTTAATGTAACCGAGGCCCTAGACCGAAGTGTTGCCGACATGACATGCTACCGGAAGATTCGGGACATGTGGCAACCTGAGAGAAAATTGCTTACCTTGTAACAAGTGGCTGGGCGAGGTCCGCCAGCAAATCCACCGCGAGGAGCGAATCCACCGCCAAATCCACCACGAGGAGCACCAAGTCCACGTGGAGGACCTTGCATTCCGTTGTTTGGGTTTGGGCAAGCTCTAGCCAAATGGCCAGGAATACCGCAGTTGTAGCATCGACCGGTGGTTCCAGCTCCGCTGATACGCAAAGTTGGACAGTCGGCTTGAACGTGTCCTAAACCTTGGCAGTGGTAACACTGCTTAGCCTCGGTAGTTCTTGGCAATGGGCAACCATTCGATTCATGTCCTACGTCGCATTAGTATGACAAAAAGCTGTGCTTTGCTTTTGAAAGCTTACCAGGTTGCTTGCCTAATTACCAAAAGTGTTAGTCTTGTTCATTATTGAAGGTAGTTTGACATGTACTCACAATTGTAGCAAAGACGTTCAGCAGAAGCGCAAACTTCAGCATAATGACCAACGTTTCCGCACCTGAAAATATCAATGTTAGTGTTACCCTTTGAAACAAGAATGTTGCACAACACCAAAGAAGTATTGAGTTCTTTGGGATGTCGCCAGGAAGACAAGTTCCAGAGCTAAGCATCCCTTGGTGTCCGAGAGAAAGTGGAGGCACTTACTTGTAGCAAGCACGACGAGATAATGAAGACATGGCTACTAATTTATGTGTCTGTTGTGTCCCATCATCAGCACGGCAAATAACAAAGGCACCATCCTCCGATTCCCATTCTTTAACAATCCTCCTGCATCTATGCGGTGACTCATCTACTCGATCTGATCTTAACCATTCCTCAACTGTCGAAGTCGGCATATTGGTGATTGTTGCTGTAAGAATATTTGGCGATGAGGTAAGTTCGCATTGAAATATCCACCAGAAGAACGTTGCAGTTGCATGACCAGCATCATCGTCAGGCTGCAGGGTGTACAAATGCTGTGCAACCTTTTGAGTATAAGATTGGTTTCGTGGTACTTTGTTGATATGCTTTCGACAACTTTGTTTGTTCATATGGTAAGGATAGTCGTTGTACGTAATATTGAGGATGGAAAGATCGGATGTTGGAGAGGTTTGAATATCATCAAGTAGATGTGCCACCTTATTCTTTGGTTTATTCCACATCCAAAAGACATTGTTCAACTCTTGAGGACGTAGGATCGTAAAGAGTTACAAAGCCCGAGCCGGCGCAGGCCTTTCAAGTAGTTGCCTTTTCCTCCCTTTCCATTCTCCCCCTCCCCTCTCGAAACAAATTGCAACCATCAACGAATCAAACAGAGGACATGAAAATAAGCAAGTACTCACAGAATAAAATTCCTTTGTTGATTTTCCTTCTTAAATTCCCGTTCTTGAAAAATATATCAACCTTTCCTTCAACAACAACTACTTCCTACTTCCTTCTACCTCCCGTGATACAAACGTTTCGCGAAAGAGACTGCAGAATTGTGTGTGATGTGGTTTTTATTTTGTGGAGGGATTTCGGAAGGCAAAACTTCAAAAAGGATGTCCCTTTGTAACCTGGAAAACTCTAGCTTAGCAAAGATCCTAATTCTTGAGAATGGGTCTAGTCTTGAAAGAGATTAGCTTCTAGATTAGGATACGGTGACTAGTGCCAGACTTAGTTTAGCTTAACCGCCCAATGGAAAATCTAATGGTGAATAATGAATGAATGGTAATCCAAGGTGGGTGGAGGGTGGTCTAAGGGTGGGTTACTAGGTAGGTAGGTAGGATCAGGGCAGGGCAGGGCAAAAAAAAACACGAGTGAATTTGGATAAACGAACTAGTGGGAATGAAATGAATGGGAATGAATGGGAAATTGGGGAAATTGATGGATCTGATTGGGTGAGATGGATAAAATAATGGGGAATCACTTGAATACTTGGAATGGGGGGTGAATCAATCAATATCGGTTGATTTTTAACAATTGATCGTTTCACTAGGTACACGCTATGATACGGGAGGATATACTTTCCAACTAACAACTTGGTATTGACTCTTGAGGAAAGTACTCTGTATGGAATATGGAACCATTGGAATGGAATCTCATGGTACGATTACATTCCAAGAGGTCAGAAGTTCATGTCAACTTTGTCAATTCGCCTGTTGATCTCGAGTAATAAGAGAATTCAAGATATTGGCTGATTGATAAAAGTGATTTGTCAGGATAGGTGTTACCTAGTATTTCAGGCAAACACGGAGAAGTAAGTTGAGGAGTGAGGGAGTCTCGAGTGAAGCAAAAGCCACCTCGTATTGAATGTCGTTTATATGTTTCGATTCTAGAGTATATTTAACAGAACGAACCATGCACTCACACCAGAGCAGAGAGAGTACTTATATTAGTATAGAGTTATCGTACAAAGAAGAAATAAAGAGAACCTCCAATCAAAGTGCATTTCCCTCAATGATTTCCCACCTTATCTAATCATCCATCACTCCCTTCCAAGTTCCCAAGTTCCCATCCTCGCCATCCTCATACCCACCACCTTTCCCATAACTACCACCCTCCCCTTCACCTCTCACCCACCCGGCCACCGTACCCCCCTCGCTCTCACAAACCTTTTGCAGAGGAATCTCTACTACACCTACCCTCTACCCAGCTACCTCCCTCCCCATCTCCCTAGTAAATAAACCCCCAGTGCAAGTTCTCGCTGCGCCGCCCCCAACCTCCCTCCACTCTCTTTTACCTTTTGCCGCTTTTTCCCAATCTTAATTTTCGACTATATTACCGTAAAAACTCGACAAACTGAGGTTCTACTTAACCACATTTAGCCTAGCACAATGCCGATCCCCCCCAGACAAAATAATAGAATTCCGATGCTTTTTCAACCTCTTTTTTATTATATTTTTATATTCAATAATATCAAATAAATCGATTTTATATTATATCACTTTTATTTTGAAGATATAAATAATAGAGTATTATATAATATAGTCTATAAGTTTAGTTTATTTTAAAAGGATTTTAATTGAATAATAAGCTAATGATTATAATCATTAATACAGATTTTATTCCACTTACCTCGAAATTCGAAATAAATTCGATATATATTCTTATTTTTCGAATACCTTTATCTTCAAATCAACCTATCGGAATATCATTATAAAAGAATATTGGAAAGAAAAAAATCCATTATAAATAAATAACAAAAAGCTCTAGAACCAAATATTACGGAGGTAATAGCTATATCTAATAATCACTTTGATTAGGGAATAAATATATAGAATGATAATAAACTAGATTAATTTGAAATATGATTTTAATAATTATATCTATTTTATATACCCTGATTAAATGAGATATTTGTTTAATTAGATATATAAGGTATATAAATAAAATAAATGAAATAGTATTAATAATTATGAAAATAAGTATTTCAAAGAAGTATTGGGATTAGTGTTTGTAAGGTTATATGTTACGGAATTCACCGTATAGTGTAACCTTACAAGTACTAATCCTGGTACTTCTTCGGAGTACTCAC